GCTTCTCTTTCTCTTTTCTTTTCCATTTGTTATGACCACTATAATCATTTATTATTGCTTAATAAACATTCATATTTAAGAAAATTGCTATTGTTGAGCCTTCTCTTGATTATATTTACCTGAATCTGAGAGGAACCGTTTGGATACACGCTGTGATCCAAGACAGTTCACCCCTCCTCACCGAAGAGTTTAACAGTTTGGGGTATCTCATCTAGAATCGTAAAAATTTAGGGAGCCTCACCCAGCGGCTTGTCGTAACAATACCGATAAATTAAATAGAGGGATCAAGGGATCAAGTTTGTGAGGATCCTGAAAATTAAATGGTGAAGATAGGTTAAGGAAGCAAGGCAGCAATAATGAAAATAGCAGCTAGAATATGATGGGAAGGGACAGATTGCAGAAACCTAAGAATGCAACAATAAAGAATGTTAGGGATCACAAAATCAGAAAAAAGACCAAACTAACTGCTATGCATATCAACGCATGTAGCATTCATAACAAAATAAATGAAATGACAGTGCAAATAGAAATAAATATATTTAATCTGATAACCATTATAGAGGTATATATGTCTAGAAGATGGTCAAGACAAGGACCAGAATATTCAAAGATTTGTGACATTAGGGAAATTTAGATAAGGTGGAGGGGTAACTTTATTAATTAAGAATCATTTTGTACCATGGAGAGAGATGATTTTAGTTCTGGGAATCAGGACGTAGAGTCAGTTTGAGTGGAGATGAGAAATAGTAAAGGCAAGGTTGTTGACTTTCTTACTAAATAGACAATAAGAGGACACAGTACGCCCTAACACACTGGCCACACTACCCTACATGAGGAACATATCAGAACTGACGCCAAGACTCCTAAGACCACTAGGAATCATGGTGGCACACAAGTCCACAGCCGGTCTACCCCATTCCTATAACATGCAGAACAACGATTAAAGACCCCATTCCCACAACATGCAGAAGCAACGTGGTTTACAAAACACCATGCAACGACTGCCACAAACTTTACATCGGACAGACAGGAAGGAAACTCGCCATCAGAATACATGAACATCAGCTAGCAGCAAAATAGCACGACAAACTTTCCTTAATATCGGTACATTCAGACAATGAAGGCCATCGGTTTAACTGGGACAAGGTAACCACAGTAGCACAAGCCAAATATAGAAAGGCACAGGAATTCCTAGAGGCATGGTTCTCCATCTGTGATGCAATCAACAAACACATAGAATTGGACCCCATATACAAACCCACACAGATCAAAACTGGAAATGACAGTACTCACCACAACGGACCGGACAGTATAAATTCCAGGCAGAGTAGAATAACACCGCTTTATAGGAGGCTCCACTGTTGATGTTACCTCATATGGTGATGAAACGTCTGAACGAGAACAAACCAGCTCAGTGAGGAAGTCAACAACCTCACCCACAACCTGAGGTACAGATGTTTGCCAAAACTTTGAAAAAATGTGTCTTTTTTTCAGAAATTCTCACATTCTGCACTACCAAATAAATATTTAAAATGCATTGAGGCAATTCACAGTAGAACATAATGCGTGGAGAAAACTTCATTTCTTTTGTACTCTCTGTAGTTTTCAATTTCAAATGTTTTGCCTTTCGGCTGTATACTGACAGGGAATACATGTTGTGAGAATAAAGATGATTACAATCATATTGGTACATGTAAGAGTGGACATACTGTGATGGAGACAAGTTGAATTTTACTGCATTTCTGCAACATTCAAGTCAATGCTTTTCATACTGTATTTTTATGTACTTTATGAACAAAGTACATTTTGAAAAAAATGAAAAAATTGATTGAAACTATCCTCTACTGTTTGAGAGTCTCATTTACAGCATGTAAGTGCGGCACCTGTTATTCTGTTCTGCGCACTACGTTTGACCCAGGTGCAATTCCACCCTCGGGCGACTGTTTGTGTGGAGTTTGCACATTCTCCCCGTGTCTGTGTGGGTTTCCTTTGGGTGGTCCGGTTTCCTTCCACAGTCCAAAGATGTGCAAGTTAGGTGGATTAGCCATGGGAAATGCAGGGTTGCAAAGATAGGTTAGAGGGGTGGGCCTGGGTGGGATGAATGGGCTGAATGTTCTGCTTCCACACTGTAGGTATTCTGTGATTCTATGATTGACATGGAAACAAAAAGTGGCAGAGAGGTCTCACAGAAAAGAATGAGTTGCTGGAAGAGGGAGGAGGAGAAGGACACAGCTAGCAGCTCACCTTAGCCCCCAGAGTCATCAGGAACCATGTCCCCTTCTTCAACCTCAGCTCAGACAGTTGTATCGGTCTCACTAAGCAGATGCACACTGAACATTTACCATCTGCTGCAACCTGAACTTTTTGCCCCTGAAGAGGGTAATAATAGCATTGCCATTGGCTGTGAAGGGAACTGTCGTGATGCAAGTTGTGCATCTGACTCCTTCCAGGCTTAAGTAGATGAGATTTGCTGCATCTTCCTCTTGGCAGGGAGAGGCAGGTGGTGTGAGAGTAAGGCTTCCTGAGGATTGCTGATTCCCTGATGGTGCAGGGTGAACTGACAGGTCTCACAGGTCAATGCACAGTTGGCAGAATTAGAAGCACAAGGGTTTCCTTTCTCTCAACGTCCAGATAGTGGGTGACTGGATATGACACATCATTGCAGGACAACACAACAGTCAAAATGCCCTCCTTTTGTGGCAGTCTGCTGCTGTGCCCTCTGCATGGGAGCTGCTGTGAAAAACACAGAAGAGTGGCTGGTGGGTAACTAGGTGACCCTCTGGCTGATGCCTCTGAGGCACAAGCCACACACAAATGGGCAAATTGCATGTAATGAGTGCCCAGCGTCCACATGAACAATGATTGAGCAGAGCAATGGGTTGTTGAAGCAATACATTCCCTGCCAGGATTGCCTAGAGGAAACCTGAAGAATTCAACAGGGTGCGTGTCGAAATTTGCCTTTGTCTAGTGATCATGAGGGGATGTTGTGGTTACTTTGCTGACTTTGAGCGTAGGAAGTTGAGGGGTGACCTTATAGAGGTTTGTAAAATCATAAGGGCTATAGATAAGGTGAATGGCAGGTGTCTTTTCTTGAGGGTGGGAGGTTTCAAAACTAGGGGCATATTTTTACGGTGAGAGGAGAAAGACTTTAAAAAGACAAGAGGGGCAACTTTTTTTTACACAAAGAGTGGTTTGTGTGTGGAATGAACTTCCAGAGGAAGTCGTGGATGTGGATACAGTTATAACATTTAAAGGACATTCTAGATAAGCACGCAAAAAGGAAATGTTTGGAGGTACATGGGCCAAGTGCAGGCAGGTGGAACTAGCTTAGTTTGGGATTATGATTGGCGTGGATTGTTTGGGCTGAATAGTCTGTCTACATGCTGTATGACTCTATAAGAACTACTAGCTCCATTGCCTTCTCAGTGTCTGCCTGGTGGATCTAGCCGATATATAGACATCTCTGCTCATCTTCACCTCCTCCACCTAGCCTTCTAGTGCAGCATCTGAGAACCTTGGAGTGCATTCACCTTTTCACCATTAGCCAATCCGCTTTGTGGGTGAGACTCTCCTGACCAACAACTCCTAGTAACTGCTCCAGTCAGAATATACCTGCCCTTTTAAGTACTGCAAGTTAGCATTTGGTGCGTGGTGACGTCATGTGACCTTGCTCTCCATCCTGATGTCTGCAACTGTTCAAAAGTCTGTTTAGCTGTGAGCTGCAAGAAGCAATCATTTCATGAATAGGTTTTGCAGCAAGCGAGCGTCATGGGCCCCGTTCCACATTTTTGCAGCCATTCAATATTCCCCATTCACCTGCCGCTTTTTCCCCACATCACTGGCTGGGCCAACACTTATTGCCCATCACTTTTTACCCTGGAGAAGGAGCCACCTTCTTGAATTTCCGCAGTCCATGCGCTGTAGGTCAGTGAGGGAACAGCGATGTAGATGGTGTGTGGTTTAAATGCAAACCCAGCAACTGGTGACATTCCTATGTGTCCGCTATCCTGGTTCAAGAAACATAAAACACAAAGTGACACTAGGCACAAGGTGGTAGAGGTCACAGGTTCGGATGATGCTGATTGGAAGCATGGTGTGTTGCTGCCGTGTATCTTACAGATGGTATTCACTGCTGCCCCTGTACACCAGTGATGGAAGGAGTTCATGTTTAAGAGGGACGTCAATGAAGTGGGCCACTTCGTTTTGGATTGTGTCAAGATTCTTGAGTGTGAGAGCCGCACTCAGGCGAGCGCAGTAATTTTATCAGAACTAACCGCTTTAAATTACTGTTAGTTTACGTAAAACATTTGCCTCTGAAGATCTCCCATCATCCTTTTTTCTCCAGTATGACATGACTATGCAATCTTTCTCATGTGCACGCAGTCATACTTTTCTACTGCCTCACATTCGGCCTTACTCTGGTCAATGCTCTGTTCTCAGATTGACTGAGAATTAATCTAACCAGAAAGACTGCAGTAGGAATGAAGAAGGATTTATTCCTGGGACGTGTTACAGAGTATTTGAAACCTGTGCTGAGATGCAACCAAATAAAGCCACGGTTTGATGGACTGGTCAGTTTTGTTGAGGTGAAGTGCCTGTACAAATGGACAGGCATATGTGCAAATGTAAATTCTCCCTCGCAGAATAACTCATAACAATTCCTTTTTGACTGGATCAAGACATCACAAGGCAGCGGGATTGCCAAATAATGAGTAATTCTTCCACTGAGTGATGCTGTTTGTTTTTAATTGGCTACGTGGACTGACCTGATGGTGTGGACAGTGTTTTGAGCAGAGCTTCAAGCAAATGGATTTCTAGCCTATGGTAATGGGTGCATTCTGCAGTTATTTACACTACTGTATTACATTACATTCGGCCCTGATTCCATTGTTGCCTGAGCAAGGAAAAATTGGAAACAACTTTCCATTATGTCCTTATGTATTTTGCTGTGCAAATTTATGCTGTGCCAAAATTTAAACAGATTTTTAGAAAGTGCAATATTTGGTAATTAAACACATTTTTAATTTTAACATGTGGAGAATTCTAATATTAGTTTTGTTTTATTCCATTTCAATGCTTTCAAATGATTCAATTCCTTCCTTTATAGTACACTTAATTTTTAATGTTATGAAACAAAAAACTGCAGAGACTGAAAATCTGAAACAAGAACAGAAATTGCTGGAGAAACTCAGCAGGTCCGGCAGCATCGGTGGAGAAAGAAAACAGACTTAACATTTCAAAGCCAGTGATCTTTCTTCAAATCAAAGGTTCCTGATCCTGATAATTTAATTTCCTATTCCCATTAGTAAGTTATAGATGCAAGGTCATATATTCATCAATGTTATCATATCAGTTATAATGGGCAATCTATTACTACCCATTTTGCAATTGTAATTTATTATTCAACAATGCATAATAGGCTTCCAATTGATATCAGTTATTCACTCAACTTTGTCTTTTGCACAAAGCTGTACTAGCAGAATGAAGACAATTGATTGTAGAAAGACAGACAAGTAAGGTTTCATTGAATTTTGATTTGACAAGGATCTCTTTCTTCCTGTAATAGTTTTCTTTCCATTCTCTAGGTGGAAATGCTGAGATTGATCATCTCTTTGTATTCATCTTGGTTATAAAGCCTGTAAGTAAAAAGTGGAAGAGAGCGTGAATCTGGTGTCACCGTTTGAAAAGAAGCAAAGCAACTGACGTCATTCAGGATCACATTGGTAGTTACCGCATAATATTTTCCACATCGTCGACTGTTTCTAGTAATCTTGTGCCCTTTGTTTCAGGCAACAGTTGCATCAGACCACCAGCTACCAGAGATAGAGCACCTAGAAGAAAATGGAAGCCAATTACAATATGCTGCTTATGCTACAATATCCACCACTGTTTGATTATGTGGAGACCACTATTGGCTGGTCTTTGTTAAAAAAAAAAACTTGCATTACGTATTGAAAAGTTGAATGTGCAGTAAACATCAGTCTGGACATGGCTGTCATAAGTTAAACAAAATATGCATTGCAAGTGTCAAGATTCCAGTTGGAATAGTGCACTGAAAATCATGTTCCACTATTCTTAGCAGAGAATATCACAAGTGTAAAATGTAACTAATTTAATCTCCAGAATGAATAATGCTTAACTGTAACCATTGACTGAGATAAAAGAAACTTCAGGCTTCATCAATGAACAAGAAACCAAAAATTTATTATAACAAAATCATCCTCTAACATGTGACAGAACAGATTGTTAATTACCAATGCAAGCTTAAACTACACCCACTTTAAATCTAAACACATATATATTCATTTATATATAGGTTGGACAGACAGATGACATAAACATACTTCTTAGGAATATCATGGGTAAAAAAGAAATATGCAAAAAGGCACAATGTCTGTGGCTCCAAGTTCAAACCAAAAGTGTAGAAGAGATGACCTTTCTCCAATTTATTTACGTTTTTGGCAACCATGTTATATTCTTTTTGACACTGGTGAACCTCAACTCGATAATCAACCAGTTGGGCCTAGGTCTTGACTTGAATTAGAAGTTATCTTTCCTTTTGCAATGCCATTGGTTGCTATTTAATTTCCAATTAAAAAGAAAGAAAGAGAGAGACAGCAAGAAGTATTTGGCTTGCTTACAGGCTTTTAGAAATCTGTATTCCAACTGTTTCTAAACTGTCTTAAGCCAATGCAAACCTTTTTTTGCCGGTCAGCTACATTTTGTCAAGACATGTGGTGATGGTGTCTCAAAAGTATTAAGTCCAGTTCCAGCAAATGAATGCCACACAGTTCTTCTATCCTTCAAGTCATTCAAGCTTCTATTTTACAGTTTATAATATATCTATAGTCCATACATACCCCACTCTTGAATAGTGAAATGCCAGTTTTAAATGCAAAAATAAAACACAAAAAAAGTTGTATCAAATCATCTCATTCATTCTTTTTGCAGGGTTTGTACAATTTCTTATTTTATTTTCAAATTATTAACCTATTCCAGTACATTTATGTTCTTGATAATGTGTCTGTAATTACATTCTCCATTCCAGCAAAGTGAACAATCTGATATTATAAGGTCAAATTGGTAAGTTCTGTTGAAATAGTCTTGCACGTTGAGATTTAACTTAAGTCTACAAAAGCAAAGGGATTAATGTCAGTGCATGTTAGTGCTTCTTTCTAGTCATGGTGGACATAAACTTCACAATGTTTAAGTGCCAGTATCAATCCCAAAGTCTCCTTCTCCACTGCAGAATACTTCTTCTAATTAATTTCTTAGTAACGTACCCTACAGGTTTCCCTATTCTTGGTACATCATTTTACAATAAGACTACACCCACCTTCAAGTCATTAATGCCAATTGCCGTTTTCAAAAATTTACAAAATTCAAGTGTGACCAACACCAATTCATTAGGTTGGCCTTCAGCTTCCCAAAACTGTTTGACACTCTTCTGACCATATTACTGTTGCCTGTTCATTTACTAGGTTATCAAGTTATTCTCAAGCAGGTATTGAATCTCCATTTCCACGTGATCATTCTCTTTTGGGTTTAAATGATAAGGATGTTGTTTTGTCTGTAATGATTCCCCTACATCCACAGAGTATAGGAGTTGGGAGGTCATGTTGTGGCTGTACAGGACATTGGTTAGGCCACTTTTGGAATACTGCGTTCAATTCTGGTCTCCCTGCTATAGGAAAGTTGTTATTAAACTTGAAAGGGTTCAGAAAATATTTACAAGGATGTTGCCAGGATTGGAGGGTTTGATCCATAGAGAGTGGCTGAATAGACTGGGACTATTTTCCCTGGAGTGTCAGAGGTTGAGGGGTGACCTTATAAAGGTTTATAAAATCATGAGGGGCATGGATAGGATGAATAGCCAAGGTCTTTTCCCCAGGGTAGGGGAGTCCAAGACTAGGGGGCATAGGTTTAAGTTGAGAGGGGGAAGATTTAATGGGACCTACGGGACATTTTTTTCATCAGAATGTGGAGCATGTTTGGAATGAGCTGCCAGAGGAAGTGATGGAGGCTGGTACAATTACAACACTTGAAAGGCATCTGAATTAGTACATGAATACGAAGGGTTAAGAGGGATATGGGCCAAATGTTGGCAAATGAGATTAGATTAAATTAGGATATCTGGTCAACATTACTGAGTTGGACCAAAGGGTTTGCTTCTATGCTGTACAACTCTATGACTCTATCCAGTGTATCACTATAGATTGCCTTCAATTTCCTAGCTAAACTTACTAAGTCTTCCTGCTGTCTTTCCCAGAAGTATGAAAGTACAATGTACAACTGTCCCAATCTTTTAGTATTGTAGGATTGTAGGAAGTACACTTTTGACCTGTCTAACTTTTCTTCTGCCTTACTGCTTACTGTCTCTGCCATCTTCAACTACTCTTACCACAAAACAAACTTGCTTTTTGTTCTTTTTTTCTCTACATTGATATTGCTTTAACATGTTTATGTGACATAAGCTATTCTTTGTGTGATCTGGAACATCTGTCATAAGACACTTTATGCACACTCCTAATTACCTTATATCGATCACTAAATCTCACTTTCAAAGGTTCACCTTATAACACTAACACTTCATCTTCTGTTTGAAACATTCTAGCTATATATAGCAGACCTGTCTGCACATTCTTTCATCTGTGGAGTTTTTAATTGCTCCTGCGCTACTGTACATGTTCACGTGAGCCTGTCTAGAAACATGGACATGTAAGCCAACATTGACGATTTGTTCTTTTTGCCTTAAAAACCTTTCTCTGATCAATTTTATTGGACCACTTATCCCATGACCATAGATCAATTAGACCTATTGGATTAATTTGGGGAATCTCTGGTAGCAATTAACAAAAATTCAATCCTTTGTCCCAATCTTGCAGGTATCTGTGACAATATGTCTTAAGCATTGTCTTAAGAATCTGACGGTATCCCTCCACAGCACCCTGTATTTGAGGATAATAAGCAGTTGACCTCAAATGTTTTATACCCAAATTACTGATTGTGTCTTGAAACTTTTGACATTAATTTGGAAATTTAGTCCATTTTTTCATTGCTAGTCTGCAATGAATAAAAAATCTGAATTGATTTTGGCAGGATTATAGCATCACACACAATTATTATGGCACAGTAGGAGATCATTCAACCTGTCATGACTGACCAGCACTTCAAACAAGCATCATGATCAAATGGCAATCTCTTATTTTTATCCCCATGCCTTGGCACACTTTTACATCCAAGTAATCAGCCAATACCCACTTGAATGTCTTAATTGAATCTGCCTCCTTGACATTTCCAAGCTATGCATTCCATACCTTAACATCTTGCTATGCCCAAAAACGTTTTCTCTCTCATCACCATGCTTCTATTGCACATCATTTTAATTCAATGCCCACTGATTCTTGTTCCTTTATGAGTGGGAACAGGTATTTTGCCTATCCACTCTACCCAACCCCACTTATAATATTGAAAACTTATATTAAATCTCCTCTCAGCCTTCTTCTCTCCAAGGAAAGCATTCACAATCTCTTCAATCTGTCCTCATAACTGAAGTTTCTCATTCCTCAAACCATTCTTGTAAATCGATTCTATATTCTCTCCAATGCATTCACATTTTTCCTATAATGCAGCATCCACAACTGTACACAATAATCCATCTGAGATCAAACAAGAATCTCATACAAGTTCTACACCACCTCTTCACTCTTATACTTTATGTCCTTCATTGGGGTTTGGCTCCTCTGCACTGACTGAAGGCCTGGTTCCACTAACAAGAAGGCCCACAATGGAACAAGAGAGAATAAGCCATGTCTTCTGCAGTGATTGCCAAGCCTATATGAGAGGCCTGTTGGCCAAACATCTACAGTTTCACTTGGCTGTGGCATTTGCTTTAGTTTTTACAGCAGCTGGCATCTTCAGGTTTGTAGTCGGTGAACCAGGAAGAAAGCATTTGCTGACTTTTTGAGGAAATATGAATCTGTGAAGGCATTTGAGGCCATGAGGGATGCTAATGTATTTGAAAGTGTGAAACCAAAACAGCAGATTCTTGCAAAAAGGAATCTTGGAATGAGTGATAAGATTGGTCCTCTATCACACACTGGGGAAATGGTGATGGAAGGATATGCTTTGTACATCAATACCTGATTAACAAATAAAACATCTAGTTCACTGAAACAAAAGCCAAGAATACTGTATGCTTTATTAACTGCTCTCTCCACCTGTCTTAACAACTACAATGATCTATGCACGTATACACGCAGGTCCCTCTGCTCCCTTTAGAATTGTCCCCCATTATATATTGTCTCTCAATGGTGTTCCTACCAAAGTGCATCAGCTCACACTTTTCTGCATCTGTCACTTATCCACTCACTCCACTAACTTGTCAATGTCCTTTTGGAGTTCCTCACAGTTTTCAATTCTACCAAGTTTCCTGTCAACTGCAAACATTTGAAATTGTCCCCTGTGCACCAAGATCCAGATCATTAATATATATCAGGAAAAACAAGAGTCCTGATTATCTTCGCTGTAATTCCCCTTAAGGAATAATTTCCAGAAATCAGATTATCCCATCTATAACTGTAAGGAAATACTGGGGAGCTGCATTTATTTTAAGTATTTTTTCTTCAAAACGTGGTGCGTATTAAGTTTTGGTAACATTTTAAGATTTCCTTACTACCGGACATGTGTGGCATGTTTTACAGCATTGGCCCACACCTTTATAAAGTCCTAGCCAGCTAAAATGCCTGTTTTTCAATGCTTGAGTTTTCTGTATTCCTACCTATCCTGCCATAGGAATTCCATGTGCTACTCACAATATCCCCTTATGATA